CTCTCAAAAAATCTGGGATGGGAAAAGAGTAGCGGCTGAGGCAGAATACATCAGGACCCAAGTGGAATGGATAAGGGGCAACTGGAGAGAATGGAAGGGCTTCTGTTTCCAGCAAAGATGATGCGGCCAGGCCTGATGGGATTTGTAGACACTGAGGACAAGGGTCTTGCTGTTATTCTGTCACAGACTCAATGATTTCCAGGAGACTTCATTATATGAGTTAAGGAATGGGTCTCAGGCTTCTCTGAGATGACAATGGGAAAAATAAAAAAAGAAGAGAGAAGATATAGGGGGGAGCCAAGATGTGGAAAGGCTCAGCAAGCAGCTCAAATGGCCTTGTTCAATCCAAAGGCATCACGCAGTCCTGCCCTCTAGATTAGATCTGCTCAGCATTGCCTGCGCCTTTCTCCTTTATCAGGACTCTTGTACTATACTGCAGTCTATGCTATTATATATTCATCACTGGGTATTAAATCCATCAGGATTAGAAATCTAGGAAGATTACGACATAACACTAAAGTATATATCCGAAATAAACACCCAGGCCTTAAATGTTTAAATAAATATTTAAATATGTAGACAGTTACGAAAAGTCATACAACTGGAATCCAGTGTTATTGAATGACTTATCTATCAAAGCTACTTGAGAGATCTCCTTTGGTAGTTTCAACAGAGAAACTGTTTCATATGGTGCATGATTTAACTTTGCAGAAATAGATTGTGGAGGCCCATCAGCTGCTCCTCAAAAACAACTGCCTCCATTGTGTCTGCCTCACCATTTCCCTCGTGCTGAACACGGGGTGTTCCAAGGCTTGGGAGGCCTCTGTTTCCGTAACAACCGCTGAAGAACAACGATCAAACCCGGCAAGAATTGGCATCTGTCAGCTATGAATGTGGACCGTTAATTATGCGAGACAAATATGATGTATTCAAGAAAACAGTACTCATTCATTGGCCTTTTTCAAAAATGGAAAAGCACCACATTTAATTTGTGGTTCTGTGCATTTTGAATGGGTAACTCAATGAAGCAATAAATGTATTCCTAATGAATAGATTTTTCTACGTAGGGGCACTCTTGATGGCAATGGCATAACTGAAGATTTAACCTGGTGAATAGAAAAGGAAGTACGGAAACATATACCAATAATTTGAATTGGCCAGAAAATGATGTCTGGGTTTCTTTAAGAATCACTATGGGCGAGGGCTAAATTTTAGGTTGTAATGGAAATGCGGATGTGTAAAGAAATCCGATTGCTGTAATTAAATTACCAGTGTCTAAAGTCTGATACAGACTCAGCTCTCTGTATGTCCTCAACACCATGTCCCTCTATGCTGCTTCTCCTTGCTCCCAAACCCCCTGGCTCCCCTCCCAACACAGTACCCTGGGCACCATGGTACTTGCCTTTTGAATGAAACTATATTCCATCCTCCATTTTTTCAGCTAGTGCTCTTACCTCATGCTTTGACAGAACTTGGTTCCCTGTTGAAGACATGGCCTCCCTCCACCTTTCTCCCAGCTCCTTGGCCCTCCCGACTCTTCTGGAGCATCTCATCCTATTGATTTCCCCTTTCTGCTCATGAACATGCAGCCTTCTCTGTCTACTAGCTCCTTCTCGTAGAGACACAGTATTTGCAAATCACTCCATCTCTTCCTTTCTTCCTCCTTTCCACATCTGCCATTGCCACTCTTTCTCTGCCTCCTTTCTTTCTTATTTTTCAACCTGTGGGAGCCAACTAGTCCAGACCCACTGTGGTGCGGACAGTGAACACTCAACAACCATTTCTTTGTTGTTAAAAAAAAATTTCCTCAGATGCCAGGTACTGGTGGCTCACATTGTAATTCTAGCCATGCAAGAGGCTGAGATCTAAGGATTGCAGTTCAAAGCCAGGCTGGGCAGAAAAGTTGTGAGACTTTTAACTCCTATTAACCACCAGAAAACCAGAAGTAGATCCGTGGCTCAAAGTGGTAGAGCACTTGCCTCAGAAAAGCTCAGGAACTGTTTAAGCCCCATGACCAATAACAGTAACAACAACAACAAAACCCTCAGAATCATCAGAAGACTGAGTGATGGACCTATTTAATCCTAACCTCCTTCGTCCTCCTTTCTCAATCCTCTATTCCCTTGGCCTCATTGGGTTTTCTTAATTCTGTGGGATCTTTGTTTAGCCACCACTGCATGCTCTCCTTTCTTTGCTTATCCCTTGAATATTGGTACTGTCCAGGCGCTCTCTCTCTCTCTGACAGTCTGCTCTTCTGGTTTGGTTCTCTCTCTGTGAGCGCACTCATCTTTCAGTGATGATTTATATGTGGAGGACTCTCCAGTGGATGTCTCCAGTCCAGCTGTTCCTGCTTAGCATCAGAACCACATAACCAATGCTGACCGGGCAACTCTTCCCGTGTACCCCTTGGAAGGGAACCAAATGGGATTCCTCCTTCTGCCCTGGAAATCTGCACATCCTGTGTTCCTTCTGCCAGGGAGTGTTATCTGCCTTGATGCCTACCCTTCTTAATCACACCCAGTGTGCTGACCTGCCCTATACATCAGTATCTTTTAAGTCTACCTACATCACTCCGCCTTTCAGCCATACTGCAGCTAGGTCCCATCCTCTGTATTAGAGTCTTAGAGGGGCTCTCATCTAACTGCAAGCTAATGTCCCTCTCCTGCCTTCAAACCCTCCACACACCTATTTCCCCTAGAACAAGGCCCTTCTGGCTGCACCATCTGCTCTCCGTGTCACACCACCCATCCTCCATCCTGGGTTCTAGTTAAGCATCACTTCCTCATTTCTACAACCAGAGGATTTTACAGATGACTGCTCACCTGGTTCTAGTGCATGTATTAGTAGCCTGAATGACTCTTATTCAGCCTTTAAGAATCAGCAGACGCACTAATTCTTCTAGAAGTCTCCCCTGGGTTCCCTTATCACTTTGTGCTTCTCCCATGACCATACTTCACGAGAATTAGTTGTTTAATCGTAGACAACTCCTGACTCCCTGGGCAAGGCCCGTATCTGACCAGTCCAGCATACTCTGCCTTCTCTACCCCAGGCCAGGACGTATGCCCTACAGCTGAGGTGCTCAAAAATTTTGGCCTTGGGGCTCCTTTACATTCTTTTTTTTTTTTTTCCCCAGGGCTGAGGACTAAACCCAGGGCCTTGCGCGTGCCGGGCACCCTTCCGCTGGGCTAAACCCCCAGCCCCTCCTTTACATTCTTAAAAACTGACTGCAGGGGCTGGGAATGTGGCTTATTGCTTGCTTAGCATGCATGAAGCCCTGGGTTCGATTCCTTAGTACCATATAAACAGAAAAAGCTGGAAGTGACAATGTGGCTCAAGTGGTAGAGTGGTAGCCTTGAGCAAAAAAGAAGCTCAGGGACAGTGTCCAGGCCCTGAGTCCAAAGCCCCAGGCCCTGAGTCCAAAGCCCAAGACTGGCAGAAACACACACACACACACACACACACACACACACACACACACACACACACAAACATATAACTCCACAAAAACAACCTGTAACAAATTCTCTCTCTCTCCCTCCCTCCCTCCTATCCTCCCTTCTCTTCCCCCCTTCCTCCCTCCCTCCCCCCCTCCTCTCTCTTTCTCACTCTCCCTCTATATCTGACTGTCTTTCATGCCAGTACTGGGTCTTGCCTTGCACTCAGAGCCTAGGTATTGTCCCTTAGTGTTATCACTCAAGATTAGTACTCTACTACTTGAGCCATACTTCCACTTCTAGTTTTTGGTGGTTAATTAGAAAAGAGTTCTATGGACTTTGCTGCCCAGGCTGGCTTTAAACTATGATCTTCAAATTTCAGCCTCCTGAGTAACTAGGTTTATAGACATGAATCATCAGTGCCTGGCACAAGTTTCTTTTGATAAGGTTTGTATTTATCAAAATGTATCATACTGGAAATGAGTTAAAACTGGGGATGTTTTTTAATTTTTTTTTTTTTTTTTTTTGGTCATGGGGCTTGAACTCTGGGCCTGGGTGCTGTCCCTCAGCGCTTCAGCTCAAGGCTAGTGCTCTACCACTTGAGCTACAGTGCCACTTCCAGTGTTCTGGTGGTTTTATTGGAGATAAGAGTTTCATGACCTTTCCTGCCTGGGCTGGCTTTGAACTGCAATCCTCACATCTCAGCCTCCTGAGAAGCTAAGATTACAGACATGAGCCACCAGCGCCCAGCTTGTTTTTAAATATTCACTTCAAAACAACAATAAATCCACTGCATTTCAGCGCATTTTTATGAAAACTAATTTCACAAAACAAAAAAATAGCAAGAAGACTATCATGATTTTACATTTTTTAGGTCTTTAAAATATTGTGTAAGTATTGAAAATATTGCATAATAAATTATAGTTATATTTGCATAGCTGCTTCTAAATTCCCTTTGAGCAAATATGGTTATGATATGTAGCAAAAAGTATGGCCTTCCACAGATATATAGATGGAAACAGTATTTTAATAGTCTTTTGACATGATTGCAGATATTCTTGTCAAAGAGTATGGTATACTTGTTGGATATGGTGGTTCACCTTCTGCAATCCCAGCTACTTGAAAAGCACAGATTAGGAAAGTCCAGATTTGAAGCCACGCTGGACAAAAGTTAGTGAAATCCCATCTTCATAATGATAATAATAGTAATAATAACAATAATAAAACTAGGCATAGTGATACATGTCTGGAATCCCAGCTACATGGGGATCATGGCGAAGTAGAGTGTAGCCCAAGGCCAATCAGGGAAAAAGCGTATGACACATTATTTGAAAGCAAATAGCTTAAAGCAAAAAGGGCTGGGAGCGTGGCTTAAGTAGTAGAGTACCTGCCAAGCAAGGGCAAGGTACTGTAGTCAAACCTCAAAACTGAAAAACAAACAAAAAACACCTCACAATACTGTACACTTAATAAGTTACATTTCCTTTAAGGCTGGCTGCAATCAACACATGAAGCAGTATCAATTAACCTCTCATATTTTATTACATTATATGGATTTTTGTCAGTACTTTCCATGGATTTTTCACCTAACCAAGATGTGTAGCTTCTGTAACATCATACACTGGACATTGAAATATAGGTATTCATTCATGTTATAGATCTTCTAAATGCTAACACATTTCCTTACACAATATAAAAACATGCTGTTTGTTAATATCACTACTGAACTCATCACAAAAGTCTTTATTGAGAAACTGTCAAGTTCACCAGAGGAAATACAAGCTTCCCAAATTCTAATTATCACTTGAAAGCTCAAATTCTGTCATTGGCAACAAATTCTATCAGCTGTTTTTTTCCTTGAGATGACAGGCTTATTTCATTCACTTCTGAGAAAATGTCCACCAAATTACCATCGTCCGAGCCACGGCAGTCTGTCAGTCATGACAGTGCTCCGCTAAGGGGAGGCCGGCTGGGAGCTCACGAAGGCAATGCTGACACGGTTTTCCTGGAGATACACATGAGACCATGGAAGGTGATCAGAATGGCATATGAATACTCCAAAGATGAGCATTTGAGGAGCTAATCAATTTTTTTGTTTCATCCAAGACATTCTCATATGAAATGGAGCCTTCTTTCTGTGTGGGAAAGGGAAAAACTACAGTAGTTCGGTCCAACTGTCTTGACACGGCTCAATTCAGTGAAGTAACCCAGACAACTTTACCTGCTTCTGATTTTGTGCCATCCATGCAGATGCCAACAGAGGGGAGCAAGGTAAACATTATCTCCATGATAGGAAAAGGTTTTGGTTATACAAAGTCCACATGTACAGCATGTCTAGGAAGATAACTAACACCAGGAAGCCCATCTGTCACAAGCAATTTGGATCACGGGCCTCCTGATCTGAAATCTCTCTTGAGCATCTTCTGCATGGCTAATCCCACCCCCATTCTTCCCTCTCCGGCTGCCCAGTTGCTTCCTGTCGCTCTCCAACTTCCCATCCAACACATAGTTGTGGTTCAAGCCCAAGAGTTAACACCTAGGCCTTAATAAATATCTCTATGGAACTAAATTTTTCCAGCTTCACTTTTGTTTGTTAATTCTGGGACCTGTGTTTCTGCTCTCTGGCTTCAGGCCCCATGATCTGATCAAGAGCAAGGTAAGCTCTCCTTGGTATTTTGTTTTTCTGGACCACTGTGAGGTGACCTGCCAGGGTGCACCTCCCACTAGTACTGTCTTACAATGTGTGGGGGACAGAGGAGACAATGGGAAGGAGATTTATAGCAATTAGCCTTATAGCTATAAAGCTGCAGTGCTATAGAATTATAATGATCAGAATCAGTTTGTATCAACTGAGCAACTAGAGATTTGGAATCAATTAATATTGCTTAGGAACATATCTAGCTAGAATATAAAGTACAACTGTTTCTGTTGTCTTACAGCTTGTGAGACTAGGTGAAACAATCTTTCAGTCTAGGGAAAGAGTGAAAACAAGATTTCATCTGGTCAAGGGGCAGTTGCTGAAGTGAGTACACAGACTGACTGTAGTTGGCTGTGTGCTCATCCACTGCTATTCACACAGTACTTTCTGAATATGCATCTGGAGTCCATGCAAGGGGGAGACCTTGGCAAGAGCATTGTTTAATTAAAAAGTTGGACTTCGGTGTACACAGGACAAGTTAAACATATCATTTTCTGAAAATAGCTTTCAGCAAATAACAAACTAATTTAGAACCAGAGTAATATGATTTTCAAGTTACCTTATTAATTCATTTCTTAAATCATGAAAGAAGTTTCCTTCTCCTTGTACACTTTTTCCTATATCCCTTTTGTGAGTGTCTTGAATTTGGGTTTTCACATCGGTACAACTCCCTTGCACTCTAGCCAGCTGAGCTCCCTCATGGATTGTATGTGGGAAATAACCTCCCAATGGTTTAAGAATCAGATACAGAATGGAAAAATGTCCTGTGTGCCTTTCTTCAAGGAAAGCCCAGGAAGGTCTGGGAGACTTGGAAAAGATGTCTCATGCTGTCCCAACAGTGCAAGGCAGCACTGTGATGGAATTCTAGGAGATACCACAAGTCTCTGCTCTGTAGAAAAAGGCTGAAGATGGACAATAAGAAAGCAAAAGCCCATGAGGACTCCCCATTCTACTGGCAGGTCCCCGGGGCCAGGAATCCTCAGTGCAGCTACTCCCCTTCTTCACAAACAGGAACATACCTGGTCTCATGGCCACCGAGTAACAGTTCTTCATAGGATCTGGGCAATGCATGCACACTGGTCCAGATTAGAATATTGGTCCCATCACTTACAAGCCAGGTGACCTGAGGCTTAACCTCTCTAATCTTCAGAGACCTCGTGTATAAAATAGAGTCAGAAAGGAGACCCATTTTATGAACTTTTATTGTAAGACTGGAGAGAGATGGTCTGTATAAAGTGCTTAGCCAAATGCTGGTATGCAGTAAGTCTGAAATGACAGCATTACACTTCTGTAAGCACAAGCCATATGTTTCCTAGGAGAAGAAAGGAACCTGGGCCTTAGATATATTCTTAGATATATTTCTAGATTCCATGGCACTTTTTTTTTTCATTCTTCAAGACAGTATAGTTCACACCAGTTTTCTCTACTTTCTTGTGTGTGTGTGTGTGTGTGCGCGCACGTGCGCATACTGGGGCTTTTACTTGGCTTTTTCTTATAGCGATAAGAGACTGGACTCAGATTTGGCTGTCCAGGCTGGCTTCAAACTTTGATTCTCAGATCTCAGCCTTCTTAGTAGCTAGGCTTTGCTCTACTTTCTAATTGCCAATTTACCTCAGGGCCTGCCTCTGTCCCTACTATTTCATTCATACTGCCATCGTGAACTCTCCATGTTTGCATTATTGCCAAATCCAAGGGATCTTCAAGAGCTTACACGTAGCCATCTCCTGGTGGTGTTAAAGACTATGGATCATTCATTTGTTTTCTTCCTCCTCCTCCTCCTCTTCCTCCCCACTCCTTCTCCTTTTTTTTTGGGTCCGGTCGTGGGGCCTGTACTCTGGGCCTAGGTGCTGTCCCTCAGCTCTTCAGCTCAAGGCTAGCACTCTACCACTTGAGCCACAGTGCCACTTCCGGCTTTTTTTTTCTGTTTATGTGGTGCTGAGGAATTGAACCCAGGGCCTCATGCATGCAAGACAGGCACTCTACCACTGAGCCACCTTCCCAGCCTCTCCTTTTTTTTTTTTTTTGGTAGGTCATGGGGCCTGAACTCTGGGCCTGGGCACTGTCCCTCAGTTCTTCAGCTCAAGGGTAGCACTCTACCACTTAAGCCACAGCACCACTTTCAGCTTTTTCTGCTTTTATGGAGGAATCAAACCCAGGGCCTGATACATGCAAGGCAAGTACTCTATCACTGAGCTACCTTCCCAGTCTCCATTCACTTGTTTACTAAAGTCTTGTCTTTCAGCTACCAGTGATACAGGGCCACATCCTTGTTTCTGCTTTTTTCATTCTATAGATCTTCTTGTGTGACCTCAACATACCAACAATTTCAGGCACCAAAGACTTTGGGTCACCAGTTGATTCCATCTGGCTTGTCTGTCTGCAGAGGAGACCCTGCATGTACACTGCATGTAAGAGAGTGGATTCTAAAGGCAGACAAGCCTAGATTCCAGACACTTCCCTGTGCTTACCAGGTGTTTGGCTATGACAATATTCCTTGACTATTTATTTATGTCTTGGTGCTGGTTCTGGGGCTTGAACTCATGGCCTGGATGCTGTTTCTTAGCTTTTTTTTTTTTTTATTCAAAGCTAAAGCTCTCTCATTTGAGCATGCTTCTTTTTCCATCTTTTTGCTGGTTGAGTGGAGATTAAGAGTCTCATGGACTTTTCTTGACTCTCAGATCTCAGCCTCCTGAGAAGCTAGGAATAAAGGCATTAGCCACCTGTACCTGACCTTAACTTAGTTCAGATCACTTCTGTCCCAGGATGTCCGACCATACGCTTAGTTTTGAAGTTTTGATCTCACCTGCTCCCACTCCCATCATCCTTCACTCTCCATGACCCAGACTTAGCACACATCTTCCTGTTCCTCCTCTCTCTTGGCCTGTGTCCCAGCATTCCTTCTACCACAATGTCCATAGCTCCACCCCCCCTGTGTCTGCCAGGATGGCTCCTCTTCCTCAGCTTCCAGCTTGAGCATGGGACTAAATGTCCAACAATGGGAATTAGGTTGGGATAGTTCCAACAGCCAACAACTGACAGATTGCTTAGACAGACAATGCTGGGTTTAAGACATATGTTTCATAATCCTATTTTGGTAGGGAAGAATGAATATATACTCAGAAAAGGATTTAAAAAGTTAGTCTAGAGGTTTCAGCAGTGATTTCTGAAATGTAAATGGGATTGAAGCTTGTTTGCTTGTCTCTATAGCTTCTGTAATAAACATTGCTTCTGTAACTAACACTCCCCCTCCCTTATTTTCAGTATGATACTTTGTTTTACCTGGGCATTTTAGTGGTTCATTAATACAATAGATTTAGACAAGGATGACTGGTACAGAAAAAGCAACTTGGAAAGTAACATGAAGTAAGTAATAAGTAGTAAAAAAATAAGTACTACTTAAGAACATGAAAATGGTCACATGCTATAAAAAATGAGCAGGACAGAGAAAACAAATACTCAAGAGATTAACTTTCAACCAATGTGTGATTTCAGCAAGATTATTGGGTTCTACAGTGCTGGTACTAGGGCTTCAACTTTGGGTCTTGCGCCTGCTTGGCTTTCTTGCTCACAGTTGGTGCCCTATCACCCAAGCCACATTTCCACATCTGGGATTTACTACATTGTATTTTCCTGAATTCAATGTTATTATTAACTTTACCTTCTTCTTTTTTTGTCGGTCATGGGGCTTGACCTCTGGGTTTGGGCGCTGTCCCTCAGCTCTTCAGCTCAAGGCAAGTGCTCTACCACTTGAGCCACAGCACCACTTCCGGTTTTCTAGTGGTTTTATTGGAGATAAGAGTGTCACAGACTTTCCTGCCTGGGCTGGCTTTGAACCACGATCCTCAGATCTCAGCCTCCTGAGTAGCTAGGATTACAGGCATGAGCCACTGGCGCCTGGCTAACTTTACCTTCTTGACAACTGATTTTCTCTTTGCCACATTAGGAAAACAACTGAACTCCTCAGAGCACATCGCTCCTTTCTTCTGATCACGGATCTACCTACCTTGCCACAGGTCCTCTTTCTTTGTACCTTCCCAACAGTCATGTGTCTTTGTTCTGGTAAAGCAACTCTGTGGCTCTGGAGCTGTCACGTAGTTTCAGTTTTCTATGCCTTTGCATTTGTGTTCTCTTAAATGCCTCTTAGCCACATGCATGTGGCACATCTACTTGCACTGATACAGTGTGATTAGCATCATCTTCGAGTATAGCACCAGTACAAGTTCCACCTGCTTTATGGACCTGGATGTGTTTTCTTTGCCTGGTCCATTCTAAGCATCTCACATTGTGTGCTCTGTACATCAATATCA